CCTGCCACCTACCCTGAATTCTCCAGCCCTTCCTAGATACTCCAAGCATTTCAGTTACTCGCCTTCTCTGGACCTTTGGGCCTCCTGGCTGCTACATCTGATTCCCATCTCCTCTCCCTCTTCCTCTCCCCCATCCTCACATGACAGAGCTCAGTCTGGTCATGTCCACTCTGGACTTTCCCAGATGTCCCTGTCCCTGACAATGGCTATGTTGTCCCACATATCTACAATAAACCTTCTCCTCCATCATGCATAGGAGGAGTCATGTTCCCTTCCCTTCCCTCTTTACTTTTTCATTCAGAATGATTAAAGCACGCTGGGATGCACTAGGGCCTGGCAGGTCCGGCTGCTTCTCCCTAAGTCGGGATTTTAGAGAGCAGCCCCTGCCTCTTGAGTTCCCTTTTACAGGTGAGATAAGGTGTTCACAGGGTGAGAGTTGGCTGTCACACATTGTTAGGAAGGGAGGGGTCAGGATACACATCATGTGAATGGGGTCACAAGCTTAGTGTAGGTTGAAAAATGTGTTTTCCAGAAACAGGAACTTATTCTTAATTGTAAATAGAATCTTTAACTTGCAAGGACTTAAACACAGAAAAAACAGGAACTTATTCTTCGACTACAGATGGAAACCTTAACCTGCACAGGACAAACTTATTCTTAACTGTCTTAACTGCAAAGAGAACCCTTAACCTACAAGGTATATTTTCCCGGTTTGGTTTCATGTTAACTTTCAAGGTATATTGTTCCTGTTTTGGTCTCACAGTTGTTTGAACCTGGGTATTCTTATGTAACTCTGGCTGACCTAGAGCTTCCTATGTAGTCCAAGTTGGCCTTGAACTTGAGATCTTCCCAATTCAGCTTCCTGAGAGCTGGGTTTACAGATGTGTGTCTTAAAGGAAGTGGGCAGTTTCTGACACAGGAGTTGTCCTCTGGCCGGCACACTCACGTATACACACATGCACCAGTAGACTTATGAATATGTACACACACAGTTTTTTTTTCAAATGGCCTTGAGCTGGCAAGATGGCTCTGTGGGAAGGGCTTGTTGCTCAGTTCTAACAAGCTGTGTGAGGTCCCTAGAACCCACATGAAGGTGAAAGAGGAGCCGACCCCAGGAGGCTGTCCTCTGACATATGTGTTCACCCCACACAATAAATTATAGAAATGTAAGTGGCTTTACAGCCACTGAGTATGGTGGCACACTCAGAAGGCAGAGCCTGGAGTGTTGCTGCAAGTTCAAGGTCAGCCTGATCAACAAGATGTAGGCCAGCTGGGGGTGTATTGAAGATCCTATTTCAAACAAACAAATAAAAACCCAAAGCTGCTAGCTTATAAAGATGAGGACACACGGAAAGAGTACCATGTGTCTACACAGGCAGGGACCCAAGACCAAAGGCATGGAGAGGCAGGGAAGAATGCCCCCACACCCTGGTTTCAAAAGGACTATGATACACTAAATCCCTACAGCTTTAAACCACCTTATGAGGGACACTCAACTCCAGGAGCCCTTAGGGAGTGCAGACATTCTACAACAAATAGGACACCACACTGTTTACTGAGGATTGGGGCCTAGATGGTTGTGGCAGAGCTAAGGCAGGTGGTGGTGGTAAGAGTACTGATTCCATAGCCACCTTTAATCCCAGCACTGGGGAGGCAGAGGCTGGTGGATCTCCATGAGTTCGAGGCCAGCCTGATCTACAGAGCAAGTTCCAGGACAGCCTTCAAAGCAATACAGAGAAACCCTGTCTCAAAAATTCAAAAAAAAAGTTTGTTGTATTTTATGTGTGTGTTTTGCCTGTATGTATGTATACACCACGAGTGTGCCTGGTGCCCAGGGAGGCCAGAAGAGAGGAATAGATCCCTTTGAACTAGAGTTACAGATGGTTGTGAGCTGTTATGTGGGTGCTGGGAATTGAACCCAGGACTCTGGAAAAGCAGCCAGAGCTCTTACCAGGAGTCTCTCCAGTACTGGAAAAGAAGCTTAACTGGTTACCTGAAAGGCTCTTGGAGACAGGACCAGGCTCTCAGGATATGATCAGAAAGCTTCAACTGTTTTCTGGGGTAGACAGGGACTTCCTCTCCTGTTCCATGTGGGAATGAGAAACTGAGGACACTCAACTTGGCCTTTGAGGGGCAGATGAACAGGAGTGAAGTTTCTTTCAGGATGGTCCTAGGGGCGCACAGGACCTCAGGGGTGGTGAGTAGCCTGAGCCGAGTTGACTTGTGTGTCTGTGGAGGGTGCAGGGATTTGAAGACCCCAACTCCCTCCTTGGCTATCCCCTGCAGATGTCACCTGCCCTGCAAGGGAATGAACCTAAGACAGAAACTGGATGGCTTGGGTAGGGACATCCTGCAGGCTCCACCCTCCTGTCGGCTGGTCTTCAGCATGGCACTGGCTTCTTCCTGGCCCCACTTGAAAGTCCTCAAGGCCCTGTGAACATGGCTGTGCCCGGTGAGGTCCTAACCTGGACTGCCCTACCCCCTCCACCCTCACCCACCTCAGCATCAGTCTGGATGAACAATTACCTAGAGATCATCTTTCTGGGGCTTAAGCGTGGGTGGGAGCAGATGGGATGTGAGCTGGGGATTTTGGGATGGGGAAAGGTATCCGCTCCCCCTTCCCCTACATCCTGGCCCTTTAAAAGGCCCTCTGAGGTGTGGGGAACCTGTCACAAGCCAGGAGGAAAGTGTGGGAGAGACACGTGATGGATCAGGAAGAATCAAGGGGCGAGGGGGGCTCAGACTTTCTGGACAAGGTAAGAGGGCTCTGCCTGACTCCACCACCAGCTCCTTGAGGTCTCAGCACCCCTGATTGACAGGATCACTTCGTTTGTAGGGCATCTAATTAGCAAGCAAGTCTCTGGGGTCCCCTGACCCAGTTACCATAACACATGGGGGTACAGTAGGAGGGTATAAGCACCCTCCCCCTGCCCAGGGCAAACGGATGGATTCTTAGTACTGTCTCCCCAAGAGACGGTAGGTGTTATGATTTAGGGGCACTTCTGAGCCCCATTTCCTTGGTAAGTGTCCCAACCCCCAAACCATCCCCAGTCTGGTCTTGATCTAGGACAGTGGTGGAATACTGTCTCTGGAGACAGTACCTTGTGAAATTGTGCTGCAGGCTGGGGCCCCAGGCTGGGAGGTGGGGGGCGGGGTGGGGGTAGGTCAGGGAAGGAGACTCCTGTTTCATTTGGAGAAACTCCACAGACCTGCGAGGACTATGGTGAGAGCAGAGATGGGAAGGCAGACACCAGTTCAGGTGGGAGCTTGACAGAAGACAGGAAGGGCACAGCACCCAACTAAACCAAGCATGTCTGTGCCCAAGGCAGGTTCACCAGACCAAGAAGGCTTCTTCAACCTCCTGAGCCACGTGCAGGGCGACCGGATGGAGGAGCAACGCTGTTCCTTGCAGACTGGTCCAGGCCAGACCCCAGAAAGCCGTAAGCTGGACACGATGCAGGATTGGGGTGGGGGTGCTGCCTGAGAAGCAAATGTGGCAGGGATGAAGGGATTCCGAGGGTTTGTGGATCTTGGGAGTCAGGCTGGGAGCAGCATGTGACTTCATTTGTATCCATGACCACCTGTCTGTGCTCCAAGCAGAGGGTAGCTCTGCTCCAGAGATGGACAACCTCATGGATATGCTGGCAGACACCCAGGGCCGCCGCATGGATGATCAGCGGGTAACAGTCAATTCCCTGCCTGGCTTCCAACCTATCGGTCCCAAGGTAAGTGTTGTCTCGATCACCTGTGGCTGTGGCGGGTAGCGGTATAGCTCTCTAGGTCTATGCCTCATCTCCAACCAAGATAGGATGGGACTCTATTTCTACATGTCTTGTTCTCTGGCAAAGGAAAGTGCAGGTGGATGTCAGAGGGGCTGAGGATCATGCAGGGCTCATTCCAGTACAGAGGCATGGCTGGAAGTCACAGCTCCTGCCACATCTGTGTATCTGGGGAAGGGCATAGGGGAAGAAAAGTTTTCCTATGGTGACCCTGCTGGGAGGAGGGCACGAGCTCACACAACCATATTAGTGAAGAACATAGGTTCTGCTTTGGGGTGTTTGTCTTACTGTTTTTGAAATAGGGTTTCATGTAGCTCCAGGTGACCTCAAATGCACTACATGTATCTCCTGGATGCTAGTGTCACAGGTATGAGCCACCAGGAGCATCTGTGTGGATGGGGATGGAATCTAGAACTTTGGTGCATTCTCTGCCAACTGAGCTACACTCCCAGCCCTGTGTCTGTGAACACTAGCATACATGTTACAGGTCCATGTGCCCATCTCTGATACTGTTCCTTAGGAACCACCATCACCTTGTTATTTGAGACAGGATCTTTCGCTGCCCTGGAACTCACCAAGTAGACCTGGCTCCCTGGGCAGGAAACCCTAGGGATCCTCCTAACTCTACTCAAGCACTGAGATTACAAGTGCATAAGGACACATCTGGCTTTTCACTTTGGGGTTAGGGATAAAACTCAGGTCTTCATGTGCACACAGCAAGGATTTTAATGACTGAGTTATCTCCTCAGTCCATTTATTTGTTTTTGAGTCCGTTGTGAACCTGGAACTTTCTGTGTAGACCAGGATGGCTTTGACCTTGAGATAATTCTCCAGCCTCTTCTTGAGTGCTGGGATTACAGGTGTAAACCAACAGCCCATGTTCTAATCAAGACCCCACTGAGAGTTCCATGTCATACCAAATACCACCCTGATTGGCAGATGAAGGCAGACAAAAAGAAATGTTGTTTGGAGGCACCTCTGGCTTGCACTTTCTTGGTCCCCTCCCTCTTTCTGACCCTTCTTCACCTGCAGGATGGAATGCAGAAACGACCTGGGACCCTCAGCCCTCAACCCTTGCTCACCCCTCAGGACCCTGCTGCACTCAGCTTCCGCAGGAACAGCAGCCCCCAACCCCAGACACAAGCTCCTTGAGAGTTCTAGCCATCCTGGGCCCCAGACCGGCCCCTGAAAAGAACAATAAAACACTTGGCACTAATAACGAAGAATTGAGTGTGTGTTATTTCCTGGGTGGAGGGGCTGGGACTTAAGGACTTGGAGGTCTCAGGAGTTCTTCTGAGCAGCTTGAAGAAGTCTCTCTTCCCTCTGCTTCCGCATCTTCTGTTTGAATTCTTCTAGCTCCTGGCGCTGGGATGAGGAAAGGGGTGTGACGTAAAGGATGGAGGGGTACACACCCTAGGGCCTGGACTTACTCCCACTACCCACCCTTTGGCTTGAGAGTTATGATTGGGACCCCATGCCAATCATAACTACCATACCAGTGAGTTCAGCTTCATCCTTCAGGGAGAAGGCAATCCATGAAATCATTTGTGTCCTCCCTACTTTTTAAGACAGGGCTAGCCTTGAGCTCACTATGCAGCAGAAAACATCCAGAATTCCAGGTCCTCCTGTATCCATCTGCTAAGGGCTAGAATGTTGGAATTACAGCCCCTTATTCCCCACTCTCAATCTCTAGCCCTATACAGCCCAGGCTGGTTTCAATCTGGTCATCCCCCTACACAGGCGTATACCATCACGGAACAGTAAGAAATGTGTGTGAAAACAAGGTCTCTAGCCCAGGATTGCCTGGAACTCCTATTCATTTTTCTGTTTCCAATTTCCTATCTATGGCTGAGGGTGAAATGTATTCCAAGCCCCCTAGAAAAATCGGTTACTTACCTGACCCTCCTTCTCTCGTGGCCACAGCTCCCTCTGTGGATAAAGTCACAGGTGAGAACACAAGCCAGGAGAATCCGGAGTCCCACACGCAGTGCAGGGCTGACTCATGGGAGGCAGGCAATGGTCCCCAGCACCAAGTTAGTGCCTCATACCCTGCTTTCCCCATCCCCAGGAATGATCCAGCAAGCTCTCTCCTGATACCCACCTTGCGCTGGATAACATAGTCCTCAAACCACTCTGCCTGATTGGAGATCCAGAACATAACCACGGGGAAAGTGAGATAGAGTGACATCTGCAAAAGCAGAGATGGATGGACAGAGCCCAGAACTGTCACCACTCTAATACAGGGAGATTGCAGAAGAGCTCAGAAGACAGATCTATCTTCCTACACAGGCCAAAATCTCGGTCTCCTACCAGGAGAACGGAAACCCGGCACCTTAAAGCCTGGGCGTCATGATTCAGCAAGCTTTATTCCTAATAGTCCTGTCCAAGTCTCATTCTCAAACACACACACACACAGGCACTCGTGCACAAAGGCGCGCGGTGGAGGATGGGGGAACAGGGCAGACCAACAGTCCAAGAACTCTTACTACAAAGACATATCCTTGAGACGTTATTACCTCCCAACCTGATCCTCGAAGCATTTCAAATAGAGGGGCCTCAGTTTTTTCAATCATAGCCGCCTACATCTAGGAGTAAGTCTATCGGAGGTCCATTATGAGCTCAGGGATCTCCTTCTGGAAATCCCGCTCTGGATCTGAAGTCTCCTTTCGGCCTCTCTGAGACGCTTCCTCGGACCAAGCCCGGGGTCTCCATTCTAAGCCCCCACATCCAGCGCTCCTTCCGCTGGGGTTCCGATACACAGCTCAGATACCCTCTCCGTGGAACTCCCCACTCTGCTCTTATCTCTCTTCCCACATCTACTCTCAAATTCGGAAAGAGCCCGAGCCCACATGTCATACACACTCCTGAGCTCACTGACCCGAAACACCTCCAGCTTCACCCCCATCTCGCTTTTCCGGTTCTACGAAGCCACTTCCGCCCAAAGGCGACTCTCCAGCAATCCAAAATCTCATTGGTGCATCTCAAGAAGCAGTACTGAAGCTGAGTGGCCAATAACTTGGCAGCGTCATCTTCTGGCGCCCCCCTCTGCTTCCGGTCACTGCCTTGACGATACGGGTCTGGTCGGAGGGGGCGGGTCTTCTGTGAGTGACGCCATCAGAGCACGACTCTCGTCTGTGTCTGGAAAGCCAGGAAGATGGTGGTGATGGCGCGAGTTCCGCGTCCCGAGCGGCCGGATCTTGTTTTTGTAAGTCTGCGGCGGAGGCCAAGGGTGCTCCGCGAGGGAAGACCCGGGGCTAGATTCCTTCCAGGATGGGACTCTGGCTCTCGGGGGTTTAGGCCCAGACTGTGCATGTCCAATCCTAACGAGCCAAAGGCGACTTGTCAGATTTTTCGTGGCCTGAGTGAGGAGCTGCTGTTGAGGTTAAGGCCTTGATGTCTCGGGCCGGGAGGAGTGAGGTCAAGAGGGGAATGGGGCGGCAGGGGAACCGCTTGAATGTTGATAGGCATAGTGGCAAGGTTAGAGTTGTGACTTCTGGATAGCACCTTGATTTCTGGGACTACAGGAACCTTGGAGTATGAAGAAAAGACTAGTGATGTAGATGGCCCCTGGAATCCTAAAAGGGAGAAAAGTTGGTGGCCGAAATAGAGGCCCCATATTTAAACCGTGTTCATAGTGTTCTGGGTGAAGGGCCTTAAGCGGGTTGTGTTCAAGAGTCTCGTGCACCTCAAAGCAAGCACTCCAAAGTCATCTACACCCCACCTCCCGAGTTAAAAACCTTTAGCTTGCAGTGTCTGGGGTAAAGTTGAGCTAAAGTACAGGTTAGTGAGATCCTGAAGGGCCAGAAGTTTGGTGGACTCGGTGGCTTAAGTAAAGATTTAGTTACCTGGGGCTGAGGAGGTGGCGCAGTTGGTACAGTGCTTGCTATCCAAGTGTAGGACCTCAGTTCAGAACCCTCGCAGCTACATAAGATGCTAGTGAGAGACCCTGTCCCAAAAACAAGGTGGAGCAATTGAGGAGGACCTCCAGCCTCTGCCAGCCCCAGCCCCCACCCACATGTGTGTGTGTGAATGTGTTATTTTTGTTTCGTTTGAGATAGGATCTCACTATGGAGCCCTGGCTGGACTGCAACTTACTGTAGACCAGTCTGCCCTTGAACTCATAGAGATCCATTTGTACCTGCCTCCTAGAGGAGGCTAGAAGAAAAAATAAATTGAAAACATTCAAATCTTGGGCTCAGTGTGGTAGCACATACCTCTGATCCCAGCACTTGGGAGGCAGAGGTAGGCAGATCTCTGTGAGTCTGAGGTCAGTGTGGTCTACATAGTGAGTTCCAGGACAACCAGAGCAAAAAGTGAGACCCCGGCAGGTAGGTGTGTGTGTGTGTGTGTGTGTGTGTGTGTAAAACTTCATGATCTGGGACTGGCATGAAGCTATGGTGACAGTGTGAGCGTGGGAACACAGGCCTGATGTCTGGGAAGAAGTGTGTTGGAAGTAGACACAGCCTGCTGTTTGTGGCAGAGACTTGGCACCTGGACCTGTGTCTTGGTGTAATGAAAGTCTGGAGATTATGGGGAACGAATGGGAGAGGATAATGGATGGTGAAAATGTTTAATACTCCCTGCATATGTATGCGTATGTATATGAAATTGTCAAAGACTTCTTTTAGAGTGTGGGGATTGGGACCAGGGAATGGGCAGTAGGATTTACTAGCCAAAGCTGCTATCTGGGCAGGGGTCTCATTAACCACTAACTGCTGAGAAGTCTGTGTGGACAGTTGAGTTCTGAGGGCCAGAGGTCTGAACTAACACTCTAGCACAGTGGCTCTCAACCTTTTTCTTTGTTTTTTAAAGATTTATTTATTATGTATACAATGTTGTGCCTGCACTAGATCTCATTACAGATGGTTGTGAGCCACCATGTGGTTGCTGGGAATTGAACTGAGGACCTGTGGAAGAGCAGCCAGTGCTCTTAACCTCTGAGCTGTCTCTCCAGCCCGGTTCTCAACCTTAATGCTGTGACCCTTCCATACTTTTCCTCGTGTTTTGATGACCCATCCATAAAACTTTCATTGCTACTTCATAACTAGTTGTTTTGTTTTGCTACTGTTATGAATCACAATGTAAGCATGTGTGTTTTCCAATGGTTTTAGGCGACCCTGTGAAAAGGGTTATTTGTCCCCTCAAAGGGGTCCCAACTCATAGGCTGAGAACCAGTACTATAGCATCTGAGTGACTGGTAATCCTCTTTCAACAGAAGAAGAAACCATGCCTGGGACCTTGCTGTGTTGTGTTTCTTTGCTTGTTAAAGATTTTTTTTAATTATGTTTATGCCAGCACACCTTTAATCCCATCACTTGGGGGACAGAGCCAGGCAGATCTCTGAGTTCCAGGTCAGCCTGGTCTACAGAGTGAGTTCCAGGACAGGCAGGACTACACAGAGAAACCTTGTTTCAAAAGAAGAAGAGAAAAATCATGCTTATGTATGTGTGTTTGTGTGGTGTTCACAGAGGCCAGAGGCTGGAGTTACTACAGGTGGTTCTGAACATGAGTGTAGGGAAGATGAGGACTGAGTTGGAATCCTCTGCAAGAGGTCTTAACTGCTGAGCCATGTCTCCAGCCTGTTAGTTTGTTTTGTTTTTGTTTGGGGGGGGCGGTTGTTTTGTTTTGTTTTTTTGAGACAGGGTTTCTCTGTATTGCTCGCACTGTAGACCAGGCTGGCCTCAAACTCACAGAGATCCACCTGCCTCTGCCTCCCGAGTGCTGGGATTAAAGGCATGCGCCACCAATGCCCGGCTCCCCTGTTTGTTTTTAAGTGTAGTGTGTTTATAATGTGTGAATGTGTATTGTCAGAAATAGATGTTAGCTGTAGTCCTTAGTTGCTCTCCATCTTACTTTTTGAGACAAAGTCTTCTCACTGTCCCTGAAGCTCACTGGCTGGTTAAGTGGCTGGCTAATAAGCTGTGGGGGTCTCCCTGTGCGTGCTGGCCCAACAATGGGATTGTAGATGCACTGCCATGCCTGCCGTTTACATGGGGATTAGGGATCTGAGCTCAGGTGATCACGCTCGTGTGGCCGGGCCATCTTTCCACCCTTTTAGTTGTGATTTTAGCATGTGCACGAGGTAAACCGTGTGCCACCGGTGTGCGAGTGGGAAGCAGAGGACAGCTCAAGGGGTTCTCTCCTACCGTGTGGACCGAGCTCAGGGCCTCGGGCTTGGTGGCAGGTGCCTCTACCCACTGGGCTTCTCACAGCCTCCCATTTGTTTTGTCCTTTGAGGCCCTTTGCCTCTCTGGTGATGGAAGTGTAGGCTTGCACCATGGCCTTTTGGTGGAGCATGGAATTTTAGTAGATGCCTAGAGTTTGGTGCTAAGTCCAGTGTGGGGTGTGACTCCACTGAGACTAAGGATAGGCCTCTCTTCTCCCCTTCCCTGGCTCTGGCAGGAGGAAGAGGACCTTCCCTATGAGGAAGAAATCATGCGGAACCAGTTCTCCGTCAAGTGCTGGCTCCGCTACATCGAGTTCAAACAGGGGGCCCCGAAACCCCGGCTCAATCAGTTGTACGAGCGGGCACTCAAGCTGCTTCCTTGCAGGTAGGTGCAAATGGCCTTCCCTGTGCGACCCTGCTCACCAGCCCCCCCCATACCCAGTCACACACAAGTGGTCATGTGTCAGATGATCGCTGTGTATTCCCTTATGTAGACTGTATATTCACAGCCCCTGATGGTCACACCTTTCCTCATTCCCAGTCTTTCCCTTCCTTGCCAGATCTCTCGCCCCTCCTCAGTCCCTTTTTGTACTACAGTTGCCTCCAGCAAAGAAAGGGTTCTAGAGTTCCATAAGCCGTATCTGTCTTCACTGCTCTCTAGCTACAAACTCTGGTACCGCTATCTGAAGGCACGCCGGGCACAGGTGAAGCATCGCTGCGTGACTGACCCTGCCTATGAGGATGTCAACAACTGCCATGAGAGGGCCTTTGTGTTCATGCACAAGGTGGGGAGCTGAGGAGGGTGTGCTGGGGACAGATGTCCACCCCTTCCTTATAGCGCTCTAGCAGAGCAGAGTATAGGTCCACCAAAATGTCCACCGACTCGAGGAACTAGCGAGGTGCCTTATTTACAGAGCCTGAGTGAGGGGTACTGAGGCCTATTGCCTCCCTGCTGCCCTTATGCCCTAGATGTGGATGGTAAGCAAGCCATGGAGCCTGTGGCTCAGACCAGACCCTTCACTCTCCATTATTTCCAGATGCCGCGTCTGTGGCTAGACTACTGCCAGTTCCTCATGGACCAGGGACGAGTGACACACACTCGCCGCACCTTTGACCGTGCCCTCCGGGCACTACCCATCACACAGCACTCTCGCATCTGGCCCCTGTATCTTCGCTTCCTACGCTCCCACCCACTGCCTGAGACCGCCGTGAGAGGCTACCGTCGCTTCCTCAAGGTAAGCACCATTGAATAGCCCTGTTCCCATGTCGGCTTCCAAGCCTTGGCTCACTGGGATGAGGGCCCTCATGTAACAGATAGGCTGCAGAAGAGGCTATGATGTGTGGGTGTGTTTTGCATACCTATGCATGTAGAGGCCCAAAGTTGACACTAGGTGTCGTCTTCAATTACTCTCCACTTTATTGAGGCAGGATCTCTTACTGAACCCAGAGTATACCAGTCAGTACCAGATTTGGCTAGTTCTAGCTAGCCCCAGCAATACCCTCTCTCTGCCTCTCCAGTGTGCTACCATGCTACCCATGGTTTATGTGGGTTCTAAGAATGCAAGCTCCAGTCCTCACACTTGCAAGGCAAATGCTTTGTACTGATCCATTTCCCCAGCACCATGGTTTATGATCTTTCCAAGTAATTAGCTTTTGGCTTATACCTTTTCCACAGTGGGCATAGATGAGATCTAGGGACAGCATGC